AGTGGAACCCAGAACCAAGTAAAGCTTTTATTTACTTTGACATAACCAGACATCCTATTGGACACCAATAATGTGACTGCTTTTGAAAGTGGTGCAATTACAGCTGTCATTTGCTCACATCTCAAAATTAACCTAGCTTTTTTGGTGTTATTTAATCAGGACATGAGTCTCCGGAGATAAATGTGGATTCCACCAACTCTCTTCCTCATTCTCTAGCTCCATTTTAACACTAACAGCAAAGGATCCTGGCTGACTTCCCTGTGTGTCAAACACGTTCACCACAACTTTCTAATTATCTTGTCTTTCGATACACAGGGAGTTCATTCAAGGAGACTTTAATCCTTTGCCAAGATTTCTGTATAGTCTTCCTAATTGAGCACTAATACCCTAGTTTCTTATAACCTCAACTGAAGACAGATGTGGGGGTTGGAGGCTGGTTCCACCTATGACAACCGTGGCAAGCTGGAGGGCAAGCTGGATGTGGCCTGCGGACACACGGGGGAACTCTAGAAAAGCTCCCTGCTTTTCTCGCCCCACCTGCATGAGGCTCAGAAGCGTGGCTGCAGGGCCCTTTTTCTTTAACAACTTTTACTTCGGAGGGGAGGGGGGAAGCTTTAGGAGCTGCTCTTGCCCCAGTACAATCCCACTGGCCAGTTTCTGGCCAAAAACCAGCCAATGGGAGCTGCCCATTTCAACAACAGCCAGCCATGAAATACAAGGTGCTGAAGAGCACAACGCTGCAGCCTGTGGAGGAGCAGAGCAGGCAGCAATGTTCCTTCAGTCTAAGCTGTGCTGTCTCGCAGCTTAGTGAGAACACTGCCCCTCACTCCTGCACCTACATCCCCTCCCAGATCTGGCACCGCAATCCATTCACCCCTTCCTGTACCCCAATTCCTTGCCCTAGGTCACAGTCCAACCCCCTACACCCCAGGCCAGCGCCCCAGGTCACAACTGCCTCCTTCACTCAAGCTCCATCCCAGACCCCCGCACCTCCTCCACTAATATCATGGAAGAGTGTGGCCCTCAACCTCTTTCCAAATTCTTGGAGTGGCCCCCATCAAACATTATTGCCCACCCCTGCACTAAGTGCACAAAAAACTGCAAGCATGTATACCACTGGCCATATAAACAAGCACAAGTGGAGAGCAGAGCCGGCCGCCCGAATTAACTCTAGTATGTCACTAAGTCACACAGTTTTGAATACAGAAAATGTAGCTAAGATTTTTTATCATCGATACTACTTTAAAGATTATGAACAATTCTTATATCTCATGATAAAATATTAGTTTTGCCACTGTCAGGGTACGTGGGATAGGGCAATCCTGCACATTAATTTAACACGTAAGATTTTATCTTGCAAAGGTTAATGTGCTAGAATATCCCCTCAGCTAGTCCTGTTAGGTGCATTCTGCACCTAATATTGAAGTGGATTTTAAATACACTCATGCTTTGAAGGTTACCTTAAAAAAAAAAAAAAGTATTTCTCATTCAGAGCAGAAATCTTAAGTGTCTAACCTTTAAGAACAAAAACCTATGATGTGAATTTAAAAATGTGAGGAAAGTAACTTCTTAAACCTCTCTTTTTGATTAAAAGAAATCAGATGTCTCTTTCAAAGAGAGGCCCTCATACCCCAAATATAGATTGCCAATGTCCACTTTCAATAAAAGACAAAAAAAAATCACATATCAGCAGAGTAGAATTCAGATTGTGACCTCCCACCAGCAGTCCTTCAAAGTGGTTAAATTAACAGTTAAACATGCAGCAGCTATAAACAAACACTGTTTATGCTCCTAAACACTTACCAATGTTGGATCAAGATAGCTGTGTGTAGTGGACCATGTCTGCGGGGCAATTAAGCTGTACAAAGGGAACTGCTGTTGGGGACTATATACTGGAGGTAAATAAAAGGACGCTGTGTAACGCTGTTGTGTGTAGAGATTCATGTCCAGAGGTCTATATCCATTCTTTGGCAAAAATGTGTTTATAGCTATTGCCTTTGCTTTTATCCTTGCCTGCAAGATAGATTTAGATTATTTAAGCATGTCAACTATTATGTTGGTAGCAAATAAAGTAGTACAAACTCATTCATTTACCTTGATGGGTTTTCCTTGGAAAGTTTTCACCTCTTCTCTAAGGTATCTGTAAGCCTTTTAAAATTGACATGGAAAAAAAAAAGTTGTCAAATAGCCATCATTAATATTAAACTACTACTATTAGGTGAGTTTTGTTAGAGAAGAACTAGTACTGTATTTGAAGTATCAGCAGTACTAAATAAAGAGAAGCAACTGAATAAACAATTCTTCAGCAACTGAAATTAAATTTGATATAGAATTACGCAGCTTTTTAAAAGCCACTGAAAAGTCTCAATCAGATGTTTTTTAATGCTTGATGATTCAAAATATTTAACTGCATACCACCATTCTTAGTAAATAAAGTATTTCACAGGAATACTTGTCAGGGACAGTATTTGATCCTGCCGTGAGAGCACAGGACTGGACTCTATGACCTCTCAAGGTCCCTTCCAGTTCTATGAGATAATACATATATGGTGATATAGCTATTTATATTTATAAAACAGAATATGCCACAGGATAAAGTTCTTACTGGTTATGTTTAAATAGCACGTGACTTCCGATATTACTAACTGGATATTTAACAGTATTTCTTTCACTTGAAATAGTCAAAAAACATTTATATACCATGTGGATTTTTGCTCATGCCCATCATGAGCTGCTGCCCTGAAGCATTCTAAAGATTGAATAATTATATACAATATTTTACATGTGAGGGGGAAAAAAAGTTGTTACCTGCTGTGCATCAGCTTCTGACTCAAATGTAATGAACCAATTGTCATTATAGGCAAACTCACAGTTGATAAATTTAGGCAAATTATCTCCCCTGAAGAGTGCTTCAACCTCCTAAGAAAATTTTGGGGAAGGGGGGGAGAAAGAGAAGAAAGGTCATTGTGAAGTGTAGAATTATGAATGTGAACTAGTGTTAAGAGACAAAGATGCTAGACTAAGAATAGAGATTAAAATACCTGCAGTTATGCTTAAAGTTTAGTTTTAACATAAAAGGACATGAAGCCCTGCACTACGAAGGCCATAGAGATTGTTTTTCCTCAGTACAAAACAGGAGTTCAGAGGGTTTTCGTTTGAAAATATATGTGTGTGAATTGTATTGCCTAAAGTACAGACTATGCTACCCTGTTTTATTCTGAAAACCAAAAGCCAAACAACTAATCAAAACCATGATGTGACTACGAAGACCTGACAGTGGCTTTGCACATTCTGGTCAGACTTTCAATAATTTTCCATTATATTAGAAAATGAATGTAGCTACATCTTCTGTAGTTTCTACAGTTTTTACTTACTCTATGTACTTGGCTTCTGACCGGTCTTGAGCATTTTTTAAGTCAGTAATTCACAACTATTTTACAAGTGTTCAAGGTAAATCAGCTACACAGATCCAGTATCAATACATCTTGTCATAATCAACAAATAGGTGACAGAGGGAAAACATCTGGGGAACTACTTTATACATGTGGAATGCCTCACTTCAGACACCTTCGAAGTTAAAATAGCTAGATTATAGAAAGGAAGTCTTCCCAAATTCAATGTTTTTCTTGTTCTTTAAGAATTTTATGCTCCTATTTATTTTCAAGTCATTGTTATTTCCTATTACTTTTTTCCTTCAGCAATATAATCCATTGCATTCCTTTCAACATGATGTTTTTTACATTTTCATTCATATGCTTTCCTTATGGTAAATCCTTCTGCCACCTTCTTGCTCCCTAACAAAGTAGTTATGGATTCCTCTGCTACTCCATTTTTTCCCCCTACTATCTTAGGTCTAATCAGCTTCAATTACTGGTCCACAGAATCACTAACATTCCTTCAAACAAATTAATATATATTAAGCTCATTGCCTCAGTGCTTCAAGAAAGCTTCTGAAGCTTAAAGTCACTCACAGGGACAGGCTTCTAGTTTCAATAGAAGTGTCTCCTTTTCACAATTTCATCCATTTGCTAGGTATGCCCCAAAGCAAACAGGCTCAAACATACAGTGAAGAATGCCAGAGAAGAGTAGATTAAGGGAGGGAGATTCTGAACAGAGGAAGGCAACTCTGTATGTCACAGATAAGTACTCTGCTGATCTATTGTGGGGGCACAGTCACATGCTAAATCCTAGGACAGATCCCCCCCCCCCACCCGCCCCAATGTAAGGTACCTACAACCATATAGTTCTATATCTCTACCTATTTACAAAAGTTCCCACATGGTCTCAGATGCAGCTAAAGCTCTTTGCAGAATTTCATGCCAAACGCATATGCCTCACTGTAACAAGTCTCGAAACTATGCAGAAAAAACAGTTTCTAGTCATTTCTATCAGACCGGGCATTGTCTCAAGGACCTAACTACATGCATCTTACCTCAAAGAGACTAACACCAGACTACAAAGGGAAGCTTCAGAACTGTTATTCACGCTTAAATTTGACATTTTACGAATGGGCCTTAAAGATGCTAACTACCTTACTCATTACTAAGATATCTTCCCCAATTATCACCCCAATATCATTATCTCAGACACTAACCTGCTCTCCTAATGCCCCCTCTGTTCTAAAATCTTATTTTTCAATTTTATACATGTTCACTTTTTTTATTGTATCCCTCTGGTATATATAATCATGCCAGTTTTCTTCCACATTTGATCTGAGAAAGTGGGACTGGCCCACAAAAGTTCATCACCTAATAAACCATCTTGTTAGTCTTTAAAGTGCAGCATAGTCCTGTCTTTTGTTCCAAAGAGAACCATCACAGATCATTCAAATGGACTTCATAAACTAAAGGCTAGCAATCTCATTAAAAATGTTCAAAAGTAGATTAAATTCCCGTTGTATATTTTGGTTGTCAACTGGAGAATGAAGCTTTTTTTTATGGAATTACAAAATCCTTACTTCAATGGGTGTAGATTCAGGTACTTCCCGTAAAATCACAATGCAACGATTCTGATTTGGCCTGACCTTCTCTCCCTTCTCATCCACTTGGACTAAAGGCAATGCTAAGAGGAAAGGGGAAAAAATCTGGTTTTAGAAAACAGCCAGTAAAGCAGTTTTACACCCTGAAAACTACAGAGTCACTTAAAGTCTGTCTGTATTTTTTACGTAGGCCTGTTAAACATAATTTGATCCAGCTTGGGTAAAGGGTCATAGTAGATAGCTTCCAACCATCTTAAACATGATCTTTTTCAGAATAGACAGACTGACTCTTAAACTAATTTAAACTACACTATTAATGATTAAGTTCTACAGCACTGATATATGAATATGCTAGTATTAGACGAAAGGCTGAACATTCACTAACATTCAATAGCTCAGTGGTCAACAACCAGTAGATCAGGATCTACTGGTAGTTTTTGGAAACTGACAGGTGATCCTGATAGATTTGCCCAGCACTTCATCTGCTCCTCTCAGCACTGCTATGCTGCTCCTGCCCTCTGCCTTGGAGCTGCCCTCCCCTGTACCACCAGGAGTTTCCTGCTTGCTGTGCAGCACATGAAAAGAAGAGAAGGGGGTGCTGATGTCAGGGTGCCCCTCCTTCTACCCTTTACCCCACCTACACAGAGTGGCAGGGATGAAGAAAGTTTGCTGGCTGCTTCTGGGAGTGGTGCAGGGCCAAGGTAGGAATGAGCCTGTCTTAGCCCCACTGCACCACCACCCAGTAGCCACCTGTGGTAAGCTGTGCTCAGCTAGAGCCTGCATTCTGAACCCCTCTTGCCCCCCCAAACTGCTGCCCTAGACCTGAGGTCCTCCTGCACCCAAACTCCCTCCCCACAGCCTGCACCCAAACCCCCTCTTGCACCTCAACTTCCTGCACCAGGCTCAGCTCAGAGCCCCTCCACACTCCAAATCCTTTAGCCCAAGACCAGAGCCTACATCCCCTTCTCCTGTACCCCAGCACTTTGCCCCCAGCCTATAAAAGTGAGGATGGGGGAGGATGGAGTGAGCAGGGGCGAGGCCTCAGAGAAGGGGCAACTGTGTTTGGGTTTGAAGTAGATCCTGGATTACACTTAAATTCAATAAGGTGATTTCATGCTTAAGGTTGGAAATCACTGCAATAGTTCGAAGTGGTTTTATTTAAGTTGCAAGTCTTTAGTATGTTCTAAACTATTTAGCATGTACAACAAAAATGCTGTGAAAATGCAGTATTTACTTACATCTCAGCACTTCCACAATCAAATCCATATCTGTACTGAGTTTCTTGACATGATCAAGATTTGCTACTGTCATTATTGGCACATACTGATCACTGTCCATTTGTGATATAAGGTACATGTCACTGGCAAGATTCTCCCTGTTGGAAGAGATCCAAGTTATTAATCCTGGGTTTCCCCAGTAACATTCATTATGTGCAAAAACAGGATTTGTGAAGACAAAAATTCCTACATCAAATGTTATATCCATCTTCATAAAGGAGGAAGTACCCGATTCCTACAGCATCCTTTACCTAGAGACTATGTTCTTCCTCATTTTCCATCAAACTACTCAGCACCATTATTTTGCTGTTCCACTTTAAACAAGCTGTTAGAATGAACACTTACCATTAAGACATAGTCCTGTCTTCTGTTTTACCATTAATCAGTTCATTACCACAAATTGTGCTGGCACGCTTGGAACAGGCATGTGACCCATCTTCCTGATCATGCTGGGACCCAGAAGTTTCACTATTCCAACTGACTGTCAATTATGTGGATGTTAATTTGATGTACACTTGAACTGCCATACTCTGGGTGGCCCTAGTTTGAGAACAGCTGTGAGAGAAGGAAGCAGCTCTACATGCTTCCACTCCCCCTCCCACTGTCAGCTAGGGCAAATGGTAGCGTGCAGAGCTGATTCCCCTTCTAGCTTTTCCCTGCCATTTGGATAGTGCAGGGGCGGTGCCCAGGAGCAGCAGGGAGCAAGAAGGCATGTGTGCCCCCAGGAGCAGGGCAGTAGGCAAGTGCCTTAAAGCCCAGATGCTGCAGCACCCTCCCTGGCCTGGCCTGGCCAAATCTTTAATCTGGTATACCCCGTTTCCCAGGGCTGCTGGATTCAAGAGATTCAAATGTTGTAAAACAGGATTTCAAAGATTAACACATTGTCTTAATTTTACAACAACTTAAAATGAAGAGAATTATTTATTTCACTTCAAATACAGACGCGTAGGCAGAATGCACAAACCTATCAAAGTTGTCCAGACCAGAAACAACTTCATGAAAGGTATTTCATGTATTTCTTATTAGTTTCATTATCTCCTTAATCCAAATACACAAGATGACAGGGCACTAGTACACAAATCCACTGCTGACTTGCCTAACACAGCCAAGAGCATCTGATCCAGTAATTTCTGCATAGACACTGCTATCTCACTTCGAGCTACAGAATTTATCAGTAGCATTACATGCTGGAATTTTCCCAAGGATCATTTCCTTTAATATTGCTGTTCCTTGCCACTAAGTTTCTACTTTTGGAAGAGAAATCCCATTATATCCCGGGGATAGATGGTAATATATAACAAGATCCTAACAATTCTATGAACTTCCACATTTACATATTACACTTACCTAGATAAGCAGAACTCCAGTGTTTTTTTAAGCACTTCTCGGAGGTCTTCCTGAGCTTCTGGCTGCAACTGATCATTTCCTCCTAAGTATGGAAGAAGTGCAGTTGTATGATTATATCAAACACAGTATAATCTCTCTATATATACAGAAATATATGTATTTCGTTCCCAAGAGACGACAGAGTGACATTATACACCACTCTGTCGCCACGCTCCCAGCCAGAACACATCCTTTCCCAGCCCATAGAGGGCCTCCCAACACACTGCCAGCTGCTGACTGGCTTTTTCAACTACAGCCCTACACTGCCCATGGTGGGAAGGGGAGTGAGAATATTCCACCCCCACATAGCCCTCAAGTGAGCTTGAGGCTGGGGAACATGTTTGGGGGGCGGGAGGGAGGAAACAGAAGCCATGAGGCCCCTCCCTGGTGCTCGGTGGGTGGGGGGGGTGGAAGCAGTGAGCCACGCAGCCTCTCCTCCACCCACCTCCTTGGTGCTCGGGGGAGGAGAAGGGAAGAAAGAACCAAGATGGGCTGAGGGCGGGGGAGTGAGAAAGGGCCAGAGCTGGGTTGCTTGTGGCCTTGGGCCTTCCCCAGCTGATAGGGGGGCTGGCAAGTGCAGCCCCCTAGTACATAAAACTTTAAAAAAGAACCGTAATTAACCATATTGCAAACTCTCCAGCTGGAGCCTGAAAACTTGACTAACACACCACTGAAAGTTAATTCTGCCAGAAAGTACTTACAGTAACTTTGAAGTGTCATACACAAAGAGTTGTAGCCTAGACTTTGAACATTAAGACTTTAATGCTAGACATTTTAAAAAATGACTATTAATCACAGTAGTAAGGAATCAATAATCTCTAAACAAGGAACACCACAAAGTAACACATCTGGATGTCATCTCTAAAATTCTCTCCTTGTGCCCGTAGGCAGTTGGAAATGCTTAGAAAAGAGCTGGAAGTAGGCAAGGTATGTACATTTCACAACCCCATTTTAACAACATTGCCAAGGTTAGCATTAGATTTCCTGGGGCCCAGGACCACAGTCAAAAAAGACCTAAGGATTCAGCTCTGGGCAGGGGATAGGTAGCCTGACGCCAGCAACCCAGGGCTGAAGCCCAAGCCCAAACTACGCATGTGTCAGTGTATTTGTGTGAATGGTTAACAGATAAGCCTGGACTCGTTGATTATCCTCACGATTACATGCACCCCCCTTGTGCCACTGCCTGATACAGCGGAAGCAGCATGGGGGGTGGGAGGAGTGGGAGCCAGTGCTTGTGGGGAGTGGGAACCAACACTTTGCAGGGAGCTGCCTTCCCCTACATGTCAACATGTAACTGATGATTTCAGCAGTTACACTCTTACGTGAATAAACCCTTTTTAATATCACTAGCCCAAACCCCACCACCCAGGACCACAGCCAAAACCTGAGGGCTTCAGCAGTCTGTGGTAGAGCTCAGATTACAGGCCCCTGCCCAAAGGCAAAGTTTTTAGGCTTTTGGCTTCTTCCCCAGGTGGTGGGTGAGATCCGTCTTCTGTGCCCACTCCTTAGATCTAATCATTTTTGTCAGAGGTGGGCTAGAGTTCCATGAAGTTTGAGAACTAATCTATTTTCACCATTGCTCTCAGCTGTTTGTCTTCAATTCAAACACTGCAACTCTGAAGGAAAGATGTAGTTGTTCTAAAGCCAATTTTACACAACCATTTTCGTAAATTACAAGTGGTTACAACCACATCAGATCAACCAATATATTTTCCCTCACGTTGTAAAATGATTCCTAGACATCTTTCAGTGTGTGGAGAAGATCAATCTCCATTTCTATTGTCCTTGGGCTAGTATACAAGTTTAGGACTACATACGATAATCATTCTAGAGTGAAGACTCCCAAGGAGCCCAAACATAGATGCTGGAACTAGGGGTGCTACAGCACCCTCTCACCTGAAGCGGTTTTCATTAGATACAGGATTTACAGTTTAGTTCAGTGGCTTTAAGCATTCCTACTGTAAAAATTGTCCTGCTGAGATCAATGGGAGGTCTCTACAAGGACCAAACACAGTAAGTGAACATTTAGTTTGATCTGCTTATTTAGTGGTCTCTTCCATTCAGCAACACTCAGTAAAAAACCATGCTCATCTCTAAAATCAATCACCACTATTACTGTCTTTTTCATTGACCTTCATCCACTTCCTTCCTTATGTTTATTCCTTCCAAAAGGAAGCTGTTCGCTATTATGCCACTGTACGTGTACACACACACACACACACACACACACACACACACACACACACACACACACACACACACCCCCAATTAACAGAAAGCATTTCAAGACCCTGCTGTTTTAGCCTGAAAACTTGGCTAAAATACACCACTACAAACTTTGGCCATTTATAACTTCAATAAGAAAATTGTAACAAGGGGGAGGTAGAAAAATGTGAAACAGTTTTACAAGAAAAACATATTGGGGTAAGTGAAATTCATATTAAAAGAAATGGTTAATATTTTAAGAAAGTCTTTATACCAATATTACCTCTTGCTTCATAGAAGTATTAGACACTTATTAGCTTACTACATTTACTGTAGATATTTAAAACAGTCTTGTTCTGACTGTTTACATTAGAATGTATAGCAATAAATTAAGGCAAAAATAATTATTTGCTGAGATGTCTGTATATAGTACAGTAGGAAACTCAGATTCATTAATACCAGAGTTATGAACTGTCTGGTCAACCACACACACATCATTTCAAACGGGAAGTATGCAATCAGGCAGCAGCAGACAAAAAAAGCAAATACAGTACAGTCCTGTGTTAAACGTCAACTACTGAATAACTCAAAGCAACGCTTAAAAAAATAAGGCAACTATTTTGGTCTTTGTTTCATTTAAATTAAGATGGTTAAAAGCAGTATTATTCTTCTACATAGTAAACATTCAAAGCTGTATTATGTTAATGTTCAGATGTAAATTTCTGGAAACAATGTTTTGCTCAGAGTTATGAACAACCTCCATTCCGAGAATTTTGTAACTTAGAGCTTTATCATATAAATACTCATTGTTCAGTTACTAGGCAAATCATTTACAATTAATTTCTATCAAAGCATAAACAAAGCTTCTTTTCTTAACCTGTTTGGGTGGTTTCATGCATCGATTCATACTCTGAATTATCTAGAGCCAAAGTGTTCATCTCTCTTTGGTCCGACACTGGAACGGTTAGCGACGGCTCTTGCAGTTCTGTTAACACTGCATTTTGCTGCTTTTTGTCACCATCACCATTGGCATCCAATCCTACAGCAAGGAATACAAGAATATAAAGTGAATTTCTCCTTCGAAAGGTCTAAATTTTCATTTGTATAAATAAACCTCAGTGGCCCCCCCCTCCCCAAAATCACTGACGACTTCTGAGAGCCCTCTTGTTTTTCATTACTGTATTTTCATGTGCGTGTCTTCTATTAAACCATTTGTGAGATTACTAGGAAGCCTGGACTAGGTTTACTGCTGCTGTAATGGCAATTTTTTAAACTATTATTCATACCTTCTTTGCATGGATCTGGAGGATGGTCAGGTATTTCTTCCCACGTTTTGTTCACGCTATCATCAGTGGCACCACTGGCTTCCAAATGTAACATATGATTCCCCCATACCTTTGCATTAGGATTTAACTCAGAAACCTTGGTTGATTCCTACAAAAGAAATTTTGGATTATGCACTTTGTAAATGCGTCACATTTAAGCGTGTGTCATAAAAAACCCTGTCATATCATGCCTGAGGGCATCCCAAGTTTCTTAACCATACAACAGCACAGAGGGGGGGAAAAAAAAGGAACAGTAACAGAACTACTGGTTTAGGAATGATACTGTTGTGTAGAATTTAACACTATTGCAGGCCACAAAGGCCAATATTTGTGGCTTTCATGGATCTGACACTTACATGTTTGTTAATAAGCAATGTAAAAGATGTATTAACAAAATGTTCACATTAGCTCTCTACTTCAACAAAAGATTTGTTCTCTGCCTGTTCTTGTGGAAGAAAAGAGAAAAATAACTCCACAGTTAATACACTATAAAGCCAATTTCCCCAACTTTTGATCTACATTTTCACATCAATAGCTATAAATCAGACACATCCAGCCTGCTTAATTAACAGGGGCCCTACAATTGATAGGTAACTGCTTTAGCTGTTGTATATGCCTTGAATTCTGTATTTTCCATTCTAATTCATCTGATGAAGTGGACTTTACCCACAAAAGTTCATGACCTAATATATTTGTTCGTGTGTAAGGTACCACAAGACTACTCATTTCTCAAGAAACAGACTAACACAGCTACCCCGAGACTGTTTTTTTTTTTTCATATGAAGTGTGTATGACAAAACTTGGGTTATACCATTTGCCAAGGCGGCAAATAAGTTAGTGGTAAATCATGACGGACTGGGTATATTCCTCTAGAATCACCATCACGAGTAAACTTAACTGTTGCTATTGCCACTGTCTCCTCTTTTAACTAGCACTGGAAACAATTCAGACTATAAAACATAAGATAACACTGTTTCCAGCACCAAGGACTAAAATGGCAATCTATTTTAGAACAAGCAGGGTCAATAGTCTGCAACCCTGTCAGCTAGTATGTTGCAGGTGGTACACTTTTTGTAGAATTCAGGCATGGTTTCTCCCCCCCCCCCGCAAGAAATATTATGGCATTACACTGATAAATGATCACAGAGCTAGCTAGTATCACACTGTAGACTGTACACTTAAAGCATCTTCCAGCATACACGTTATGGAGCATCTGATTTTAGCATCTTTCAAGCATTAAGAAGTTACACATTTAAATATTCTGAAGACTCCCCACATTTTCCCAATATTACAGGCAATTACAGATTTACTGCTATTTGACACCAACTACTAAACTTAATTTTGTGAAAGTAAAAGTTTCTAATTGTTGAATATTAAAAGTAATACAAATGACACTCAGTGAACCCTTTATATTTCTGAGCTGTTTGCAACCCAAACATTGCTGTATTGTGCTAGTACACCAACTCCAACCCAGCCCCACCAGGTAAACAGTTGTGAAGAAATTAAGTCACTCTTTTCCACAAACCCAGGACATTGCTCTTAAACTCTACTGTGGCCTCTTCATCTCCCCCAACTTCCTGGTGTGTCTCAAAAGTGAGCAGAAGATATCCAAATTCCTAATCCCATTCCAGCAAGGAGCTGAAAATTTCAGGAGCACCATACATGCCTCCTCCCTAAATGAAGGAAGGGATAAAGCAAAACCCGCAGGACTAAGTAGAGCAGCAAGGAAAGGAGAGGCTTCTGACACAAGGGAGAATTTGAGACCTACCCAGGTTGGAGGTGATGCTGCTGCCATTGTCACCAGGAACTCATTATTACTATGTAACAGATTTCACAGGAGAGAAGTGCTGAATGTTAGGGTTGGGTTTGCTTTTTGGGAGAAGGAAAAAAAGTGATGAAGTGAAGGGTGAGAAGAACAGATGAGCTAAAATAAATGATGGCATGGTGAAAATGATTTCTGTTTCAAGAGACTAAACTGGAAAAAGAGTGGGGTAAATTAGCAAGGTTTATGTATAACATACATTTAAGGTAAATTTGTGGCCCCATCACTATTGTACTTGAGTATCCATTTTCCGCTTGTATTTATCTTCAACAGCTCTGGCAAGGGAAGCACTATTACCGCAATTTGTAGATGGAAATGTAAAATATGCATCTTTGTTTATTTTAATGTACTGAGGTGTTGCTCCTTGCAGCGCTCCAATGTAGAGGAAGTCTGTGGCAGAGAAGAAAACTGAACTCTAAGTCCTTACCTAATGTCCTAACCTTCTTAGTATCCTTCTGCATGAGTACTTGATGTCAAGTGTGTAGGCACAAGGTTTAATTGGGCCCAAAAATCTAATCTGATATGACACGGAATTGCCACAAATAAATCAACACCCTGCAAAATGGATTTGAAAAACCTCTAAAAAACATTTATTGTGGTTATAAATATAGCCCTGAGATACCACTGTGAAGGAGACTGCTGACAATCTCCAGATACCTTTCCTTACTTGTGATGAACAGATATTGCAAGATGTCATTTATTCCACAATTCTCGAAATGGAGTGCTTTGCCAAGGATTAAACTTCTGAACAGCAAAAATACAGCACTGTTTACATCTGACAATGGTCAGTAACATTTTTGGACTGTATCAGCATGATGTAACTTCACTTTGAGCCAAAACTGATCAATATGCTTTTTAAAAGAGTACAAATGAAACGTGCTATTTAGTCAAACTACAGTTTGATTTACTCCTGCTCACAATTTCGAAAGCCATATTTTGAAATGTAATATAGTGTAAATGATCAAACCATACTTTTAAAAATACTTACAAATTCTTCATCTTCTTGCCATCCCCAGATACCTTCATTTTTTGTTACTAGGAACTGATAAGGATCTCTTTCTTTAGCAAATGAAGCATCTACCACATCATGAGATTGGTTCTTGAGAGTCTCATTCATGGTATGTTGTCTGTCATTCTCCATAACTGTGTTAGAAGTAGTGGTATTCCATAAATAGCCCATCGGATATTCACTATTATCATTAAAAATGGTGTCAGAAAATATCTGACTTAAATCAACATTAGTAGTCTGCAGAGTTATGAACTGTGAATCCATTTTTCTTTGGGAATTTTGTATATCCAGTTTACATGCATTTTCTGATTCATTCAAAATATCTTCCATCAGATCTAGAACACATCTCTCATTGCTTTGCTGATGCTCTCTGGCAACAACTGAGATATTAGGTAATTGATAGGAAGGTGTAGCAGCGTATCTATCTACCTGCCCCGGATCTATACAACCCCCCAAAAAATCTTGATCAGATGCACTCATATCACAAATGTCAGTCTGTTCATGATTTGTGGTGGAAAGAGTATTCAAACTTTTCACCTCAGCATCTAGAATGTAACGGCTGTTTTCAGATTCGGTGTTTGTTTCCAACTTCTTTTTATTCTCACTTATTCGTGCTTCTGCATTTTCAGTTGATGTATTAAAAAGATTGCTTTCTTCCTTTAACAGATTATGACACAGGTTTTTTTCACCCCTTTGAAATTCTGGTTCCTTTACACCTGTAGCACATTCTTTGTAAGTTTCCAAAAGTTCTTCAGTAGACCTTTTAACATTAATTGGTTCTCTCTCATCACACTCTCGCACGTCTTTTTGAAAACCATCTGAATATGATCTTTGGCTTGATGCAGACCGACAGCTAGGAGATCCAAATATATCATTACTAGCACTTCTATGATTTCTGAAACTGTTTCCCATTTTTAATGTATCAGATGGATCACCTTCCAAAGTCACAGGTTTATCATGCATAACAGAGAAAACATTCTGATTGTGTATTAAGTCTCTATGACTTAGAATACTACTGTCATGATCAAAAATGATAACTTCAGAATTTGGTTCACTATTTTCTGTTTCATTATTAACAGTCCCCCATTGGCACATTTCTTGTTTTGGCTGTTTTATCATTTCTACACCACCACCTGTTAATCTGGCAGGATTAGTCCCCATACTTAATTGATTTTCCATTGCATGAAATGAACATTTATCCCATAGTTCATCTTGTTTATAATTCAAGTCCATTTTATTCACATTTGAATATGCCTGCAAAGATACAGAGGGAGTACTGTTTTTGTTCAATGAACTGGAATAGTCACATATTTTACCTTTATTTTCTGGCAGTTGTGGTGAAAACTGACATTCTAGACAATTTTCCTTTTGAATTATCTCATGTGTACTTGTGTTATATGATTTGCAAGATGCTAGTGTATGATTTCTTACCCTTACTGAAGTCTTCAGACTTTCCACAGAAAAGTTATTTGCTTGAAATGAGGGCGTTTGCCCAACAATGCTCACATGATTGTCATCTTTCATGGTATCAGGACTTGAAACATTTGACATTATCTTTGTTTCAGCACTGCCTTTCATAGCCATTTGACAATCCAAAACACACTCCAATTTTGAGGGCCCTTCAGTCATGTTTACAACCACAGCATTTTCCAGGCTGCATGAAGTTTCACCTGTGTATCTCTCTTTATCTTCCAGAAGTAGTTCCATTTTATTGTCTTGTTCACAAGTGGTAAAAGGGATCTCTCTTTTAAATTCATAGTATGCTGTGTGAAATTTATTTTTTTTCTCATTAGAATTTAGTTTCCTTTTTAGATTTAGTAGGGAATCCTCTTGGCTAAGGTATTCCAGATCTTGACTCATTGGAAAGGAATCATCATATACTTTGTGAAATTCTAACTGAAAACGTAAGTTACCTGTAGTATCATCTAACTTTTGTTTAATATTTGCTTCCTTTTCAGGGTTCATTTTATTTAAGAGAACATTTACTGAGGTGGTGTCAGAGTTATCATTTCTCTCAGTCTTTTTTGAATTATATTCTTTAGCACTGAAAGCCAACATGTCAGAAGTGGAGCTGTCAACATGTTTCACACTTACTGAATATGGACAGTAACGTTCTTGGAGAGCATTCACAAATTGTACCGACTCAGTGTTTTTATGAACTGATTCATTCAAACCAACACTATCTAGCGTACCCATTCTTTGCATTCTTTTATCAGGAAACTCTTCATCATATATTAGTGCTCTTAAACCATCTGTTGCTATAGTATCCACATTTAGCCTATGTGTCTGACAGCTGCGATCCAGTAAGCCATTATAAGATGACTGGAAGTCCATACAACAATACTCCTTTATTTCATTTTTTTGCGGGTTTGACTTGTGCTCTCTTTCATCTATAAAGAGTTCTTTCTGTATATTAAACTCTGCTTGCACTGGTACTGACTGCAAGATTGAAAATTCTCTCTCAGTGTCTGGAGAGCATACCACATTGCACATTCCTTCAACTGTAACAGCTGAATGATCTACGTCTGCTGCTATCAATCCATGCTTTGTAGATGGCATCTCTTCATCCATTTTCAGATCTTCAGCATCTACAATACAAATGCTATAAAACTCCTTATCTCGTCTGTATTTTCCATGGTCTATATCAATATAAGTCAAGGCTGGAACTACTATTTGTCTGTGCAATATATCTGAAATCTCTCTATGGCTGTCACAATTGTTATCTTGAACATTCTCTGTTTCATTTTGTGTTTGTGAACACTCACATTTAACTGGGTAATATTCCAGATAACTCACATTTAACAAAGATTCTTCTTGTGAGTCTTGGTCTAGAGCTACTGGTCCCCACGAAGGAGAAACACAGTCCAATGAGCAACATGGCTTTCCGACTACAATGGATTTGTTTCCGTTGTGACTATTACACTGAGAGATTTCTGTATTATTCACACACTTAACATTCCTATTGGTATTTTCAATTACTCTTTCACCGATATCCCAGTCTTCCGTTTCTTTACTCTTTTCCACATTTTTATAACTATTAAAGACCTTGAAGATACGATTAAATGAAAGAAAAAAGTTAAAAGGTCCGTTATGCTGTGTCTTAGTGACTTGTCCACGATGAGTGTTCTCTAAACTTTCATATGAAGGATACTTTGTTTTTCTGCCCCAGAACCCACGTTTAGGATTTGACTCAACGCATTTATCAGAATGAATGCACTCAATGCTGACTAGAGCACCTCTCCCATTAGCTGTCTTTTCTATTGCGTTCAGCTTCTTACTTTCCACAGTTTCTAAAATTGAAGGTAAAGTTTTACTTATCCTGGTTTCTGATGCCTCCTCTTCCACAGATTTTTGTAACAGGCCAGTTTTTTCATTGTTTTTGCCGGTAGTTACTTCTTTACTGAAGCAGCAGCCCATGTTTAACAAGTTGTACTACAGGAGAGCTCACATTACAAATCTCCTTCTTGCACATGTAACTAACTTTCTACTGCTTCTGAAGAGACAAGCCAACACCCAGACGCCAAAAATAGTACATTATTACACAGTGAGGGAGCTCATATGCCATTGCCACTCAAAGTCCAAACCCCAGTTACAGAGCAATGCTTTAATGTTTCATTTTATGAACTGTAACAACTAAGTCAAATAGTTCTCCTAAACAAAACATTGCAGACTTTCTAATACATTCAGGCCTTTAATTGTTCCATTTCCTGACAAGTTTCCTTAAACCAACCTATAAAAATATTTACTGCTTCACTGTACTGTCGGCATGCCCGAACCCTATTTTCTTAATCATACCTGAAACACCAATGTTTGTGCAAGAGTAGCTAAGTCCGAGCTGCATGCAAGTTTAGCTCAGGAGTGGGCAAAACCCCATCAGCTAGCTGAATCTGGCCCGCCTAGAGCTTTGACCCAACCCGTGAGGCAGGTCCAGGCCCCACCTCCTAGTGCAGGGGTTGGCAACTTAGGGCACGCAAGCTAATTTTCAGTGGCAAGCGGGTGGGAACTCAGCCTTACCCCTATCTCCCTCCTGGAGAGTGCTCCCTCCTGTCTGCAGCAAGTTAGGCTGAGGTGGGAGGAGGCAGCACTGGGAATAGAGGCTCCTCAGCAGTGCCTTGGCTGGGACCAGAGGCACCACTGCTGCAGCCACGCAGTACAGAGCCGGCCCAGGACTGCATGGCAGCGACGCCTCTAGCCTCAGACCACGTAGGCCACAACAGCGGGGACTCCAGGGCTGGCCCCAGACCACAGTGGTAAGGGGTCTTCCAGGGCTGGGCTTGGACCACATGGGCCCCAGCAGCAGGGCCTCCCTTCAAGATGTCTGGGACAGTGTGGCTAGGTAAGATGTCCCCTCATGCCCAGTTCACCCCCCACCCGAACTCCTTACTCTCCCTCCTCAAGACCTGGCACTCCCAGCTTGCTCTGACAACCCACCATGCTCCTTCATCCACATTGCTACTGCACCCTCTCTCCTGGTCACACTGCACCCTCCCTTGGTCCTGCTCCCTTCACCCTACTCCCAGCCTGCTTCTGCACCTACCTCATCCCCAGGAGGACACCTTGAAACTTCTCCCCTGTGACCTTCTGCACCCCACCTCCCTCCCAGATCCTGTAGCCCATTCCTATCTTATTTGCTGACAGCCCTTTCTTGCACACTGTACCCATCATTTTTGTCCCTACTCCAGAGCCTAAAGAGGTCCATAAAAATCTACTAACTCCAGAATCCCAGAAAAGTAAATCTGGTCTATGATGGAAAGCCCTGAACCTCAGTGTCCCTTCTCTTCCACTCACCCCATGGGGCTGGGGCACCAGAGGAGTGAGGTGTCTCAATTGGGCCACATCAGTGAGCATTGAGGTTTTTTGAAGGAGTGTTTTTGCTTCTCACTTGTGCCGTCCCCAACATTTTTCTATTGGTTGGTGACTCAAGCCAAAAAAGGTTCCCCACCCCTGCCATAAAGAAAACATTGAAACATTTAGTGCTGGACATATTTTCCTTTATTAAAATGAAGTTTAACTTTCTCATGCTTATTAATCTGATTAATAATTTAAACTAAACTGTTCTCCCTAGCTGCACCTGGTTCCGAAAGTAAGGTCACTGTACCCAGCCTCCCCTATACCCTCCTTTCCCCAGCACACAGATCCACGAAAGAGTTAAATCTCGGTACGCCACTTCTGAAAGGTTGCCAGCCCATGCGCCACTTCTGAAAGGTTGCCATCCCATGGATCTATCACATCTCGAAGAACCATAGCTACAGTGAGTAACCATTTTGTCTTCTCTGAATAAATGCAGATGTGTATTCTAATTGGGTGATTCACAAGAGGTACCCCACCTGGAGAGGCCTGGAGACTACTGAAAAACAGATTGCTGGACTGCCCTATGAGGCCTGCATTCTCTCTAGAACATGTGGTAATAGTAGAAGGGTCCATATTTGTATGACTGACTATGTGGCCTCCCTGCAAATGTATAAAGTGTATAGGTCACTGATAACACTATTGCTGACGCTTGTGCTATCACTGAATGAGCTCGTATACACTGAGAAGTCATAGCCCAAGTCATTTCATATGCAGTTTTAAGATGAGATCTAGGGATAGTCTGAGTAGAAACTGCTTGTCTCTTCATGAAGTCCACAGAGTTACCTTATCCTTGGAGGACTGTGGGTAGGACACACTTGCCATCCGACCCCACAACTCAGAGACCCTCTTTGCAGAGGTAATGGCTATCAGGAGCATGTTTCTCTGAGACGGATGAGGCAGTGGACAGAATGCAAGGGGCTTGAACGGAAGCTCCTTAAGAGCTGCCAAAACTATTTTTAGTTGTCATAAGGGGACTGGGTTGAACCTGAGAATATCAGAGGACGACTCCTTTCAGAAATCTTGCCACCATGGCATTGAGAAAAAAAGCTTCCTCTGAATGGGGATATGGAACGCTGATATTGTTGCTAGATGTCTGAAGATGTAACAGGTACTCCAAGAAGCCTGGATGGAACTTCAGGTCACTTGGGTTCTCTTTTACTCTGGTAAATAGGCTGGCCTAGAGGATGACCTTCTACTGTTGAACAGGGCTTGTTGCACAGCTGCCAAACTCTTACTCTTTATGCTGCCATACAGCAGCTATAAGGTGCAAGGAGTTAAGCACAGAAAGAAGGGTTTGGCTATCATAATTGTAGGGTCATAATTCAAAATGATCGACAAACTAGAGAAATGGTCTGAAGTAAATAGAATGAAGTTGGATAAGGTCAAACGCAAAGCGCTCCACTTAGGAATGAACAATCAGTTCATACATACAGAATGGGAAGCGACTGTCTAGGAAGGAGTACTGCAGAAAGAGATCTAGGGGTCATAGTGGACAGCAAGCTAAATATGAGACAACAGCATGACACTTGGAAAAAAAAGCACAAACATGATTTTGGGATGCCTTAGCAGGAGTGTTGTGAGCAAGACACAAGAAGTTATTCTTCCACTCTACTCTGCACTGATTAGGCCTCAGTTGGAGTATTGTGTCCAGTTCTGGGGCCCACATTTCAAGATGTGGAAAAATTGGAGACGGTCCAGAGAAGAGCAACAAATATTATTAAAGGTCCAGAAAACATGAACTATGAGAGAAGACTGAAAGAATTGGGCTTTTTTAGTTTAGAAAAGAGAAGACTGAGAGGGGACATGATAGTGGTCTTCAAGTACCTAAGAGATTGTTACTCCTCCCATCCATTCAAATTCCAAAATTCTCCCAAATTCTCGCCCAACATCTTTTCAGTTTTACTTTGCCAATAGATAGTCTTACTCTGCTGTTGCTCAGAGCTTTCCTAAAAAGCACCAGCATGAAACTGACCTATTCAAAAGTTTCATTGATACTTTGCAGATTCTAAGTCAAGTCTTGCCAACTGAAGTGATGAAATTAACATTTATTCTGCTGCTACCTAACAAGCTCTGAACAGCATCACAAGTGATTAACCCATGCCTGCAGACTCAGAAAGATGACTTATTGCATGCTTAATTCAGGTTCAGAAGATTCTCTGTGCAACTACAGAGACTGGAACCCTAGAAGTTTTTTTAAAAAGCTAAGAATACATACTGCTAAAGTTGACACCACTTGTGTAGGAAAGGTTCTCGCTTCAGCAGTTTTCAGATTCTGAAAGTTCCTAAACTACTATTGAACACAATCCTTCATCTTCTGTTTAAGCAAGTTTACAATCATATTCTTCTCAGATTACTCAGCTATCTTTACCTTGTCTATTCCCTATTTTACAGAGCTTAGACTCCTTTTTGAAGTTCTTTACAACTTCCAGCTTACTATTGCCAGAGTTATTTCACTAGTGTGACAAAAGTAGAGAAGACTTTTGTCCAGTCTACCTCATATGCTTGGGTGTACAAAGTTGTGCAGGAATCTTCTAGGTGCTGCATTATACCTTTATGTAAATACCTTTCTATTAATTTCTATTTTGTTTTCCACTGACTTTAATGCTTGCCAGAGAATAAACCTTTGGAAAGGCTTTCAAATAAGGAGAATTACCTATAATCTTTTCACAGTGGTAAAGTGTTTTCTACCAAATGGCCACTACTGAGCCTGCATTCCCATACTAGTAACCCACAAGTTTTAATATTCACAACTGTGAAGAGAAGATGGCTCATCAGTAAGGTGTTAGCCATGGCTGTAAAGTATATAAAACCTAACTCCCCCTGGAGACATGGATTGCTTTCAAGAAAGATATATTTTGAAAAAGCAAATACAAGTCCCATCTTCAAAAACTAAATATTTCAAGTCCTTTGTAATACCCTATTTATCAGTAACACGTTTACAAAGAAAAACTGCAACCACATGCAGGTTTCAAATGTAAGAAACATGACAACTTACAAGTGATTTATCAGTCTCCGAGGGACAGACATGTTAGTCTGTATCTGCAAAAACTACTAGGAGTCTCCAAGGTGCCACAGGACTAACATCTGTTGGACGTAAACTTTCATGGGTAAAAACCACTTCATCAGATGAACTGGAGTGGAAGTTATAGAAGCAGGAGTATATGCAAGGAAGAAGTTGCTTGTGTTAATGAAGCTAATCAAGTCAGGATAGAAATGGGTCATTCATAGCATTTGGAACAGTAACAACAGTGAAAACAGTTAATTGAGAGGGGTTGGATTTAACCACACTATCTGGAGACATCCTATAGAAGAGACAAGATGGTAGAGGTAACAGAAGGATATTGGAACAAGTCAATTATCCCCAGGTTGATCAGGAGCTTGTATTAGTATTTGTGAGAATGGGGAAGTCATACTATAGAAACTGAGCATGTAGATGATTTTAAAACATGTTTCAGGAGTTTGAAGAAAATATTCCTAGTTGAGTAAGTGCATCAAGTGAGCCAGTCCTTGCATTAATTAGTACATATGGACAGAAGTTGGACATGCATAATTAGTAATCCTTGGGGAAGGGTTTCTGTACTAAAAGTACAATAGGAAAAAACTGTGACAATGCCAGTCTGGACTGAGAATCATCACATATTGGTCGAGCTTGATTTCTTTTTTTTACTTTGGGGAGCAACACTGCAAGGTGGCTGCAGCAAGAATTTACAGGCCAAAATGAATCATCATCAGCTGTCGAAGTCCCCAATTTCCATGTACTGTCTGCAAGGTGTGTAGAGTTTTGTTTCAAGTGATGTCATTTCAGAGGTCTCTACACCCCTCTTTTATGCAGGGTATATTTGTTGTACTCTGAGCAACTTTTTCAGCTGATTTTTTTATGGCCCAGTGTATTAAGTCTGTTGCAGACAAATGGTTCTGTCCACAAAACACAAACTGAATTTAGGAAGTGCTACTACTTGTTGCCTCAATTCTTAAAGGCTAAAATACATTAAGTCCCACAGATAGCCGAACTCTCCAACCTCAGATATGCTCATGTTAAATAGTTAAGTTGGCCAATGTCCAGAAGAAACTATTAACTCAAAGCGTCTCACTATTCTCACTACTGCTTAATTGGCAGAACAGTGAATAATCTCCTGCAAGTTTCCCTTGAGACCCCGTAGCAAGACAGAGTAACTTGGCCCAAATTACCAAATCTGAACCATGTCACAAACCACTATAGAATAACTGTTTTTAACAATAGGAAGTATGATGCATCATTGCTGCCATCTGCTGCCTTTTATTTTTTAAATTCTCTCCTGGGATAGGTTCCTCAATAAGCTTGTGTCCAACTTGACTCAGATATGACGACTCATT